TCTTTTTCTGTTGGCGAAGCTCAATCATTTCATTTCCTTCCTCCTCAAGATGCCGATCTTCCCATTTGGTGGCAAGCTTGTCAGTCTGGATATCTTTATGATGACCCACGAGGTGGGCTTTTTTCTCCTCTTCTTTAGCATGTTGATATAAATGGGTTTTTCTTGCTGTTTTGAATGTTTAAATGTACACTTGACTTTGCAGCCTTCCTCTGTGTTCTCTTGAATTTTTTTGCCAGGTTGTCAACATTCTTTCCATCCCTTGATTCCATGTTGTCACCCTTGTTCTCTTCCCCCAGGGAAGACCCATATCAATGATCTGGAGCCAACATCCTGCAGAGATGTGATCTGACTCTCCACACAGGTTCACTAGGGAGACCTGAGTCCTTTTTAGTTTCCCATAATATTTTAAAGTGTTTTTTAGCTTCTTCCACTTTGTTTTGATTAATTTGGTTTCATTTTCCAGAGCTTGTAGGAGCAGACATCAACTATTCTTGTTTTGAATGGTAGGGATTTTCTTTTCCCCAGTGTTTTACTATAATGCATGTTCCTTAGCATAGGAGTGGACATGTGCAGGTCATCAGACACTTCTGCATTTTCATCTTCTTTTCTCACAGGATGAAATTTGTCAAAAGAATTACACTTTGCTAGTGCTAGTACTACACTGCTATAGGCTAGTTCCTTGTTTTGCTGTAAAGAAAGCCTTTCTTTGGCTGCATGAAAAATTCTGCATAAGAGCAAGAGAGCTATGAACCTGAAGCACAACAGCACGCTCTGCCATCTCCCACTGATACCCAGGACAGCGAGACCTGGTAGAGACCCCCATCATCAGTGGTTCTGCTGTGAAACTCTTCAGTGTCTCCTGGGTTTGCCACAAGTACAGATCTCTGGGAGGATGAAGTTCCTCCATAGTGGCTCAGTCTCTTGCAGAGGCTCCTGAGGATACTGTGGCCAGTTGGACTATACCACACTGCAAAGAAAACTGAACTGGGTTCTGTTCAGAATCAGACTATGCTAGGTACCCGGAGAAGACCATGCCTGCAGAGGGGCAGGTGGGCAGCACCGAAGCACAGACCTCACCTGACGGTGAGCATAGAGTTCACAAACTCTCCAGCCTGTCCTTGGTGCTTTCTTTCCCCCAGAGGCCCAGCCAATCCTCTATGCACATTGTTTTCTCTGTCCAGAAAGATCTTGTTCCCATCGCCTATGTGGGATCACACTGCTGTCCTGTATCCACAGTGTCCATTCACATCTGGGTCCTCAGTGCCCAGGGCAGGGCCTAGCCAGGAATAGGGGCTCAGTGTTCCATGCACACTTATGGGAGGAACACATGAGTGACTTAGTAACTGCAATAGGGCAAAGAAAAGAAAAAGCAGATAAGAATATTGGAAAGGAAAAAATGAATTTTTCCCTCTTCACAAAGGCATGAACTTATATGTAGAAAACCTAACAAATCTGTTTTTAAAAACTGCTTGTAATAAAATGTACCTGGGATGTGTTTGAATCAGGTATGGCAGGACACACAGACACAGACATTACTGTCAAGAAGGAAGAATTTTTTCCTCACAGTTCCCTACAAACAGGAGGCATGGCACAGGGTGCAGGGCCACATGGGGAAGCAGCCTGGTTGGTTGGGAGGTGAGAGGTCAAGGCAAAACATGGGCAAATGCCTTTATTGTGTTCACATTGTGGTAACTTATTGAGCTATACATTTAGGATGTGTACAATGTTCTGCATGCATATTATGCTCTTGTGAAAATATTTACTTAAAAGGAGACAGTTTTTCTTTTCTTTTCTTTTTTTTTTTTTTGAGACAGAGTCCCACTTTGTTGCCCAGGCTAGAGTGAGTGCCGTGGCGTCAGCCTAGCTCACAGCAACCTCAAACTCCTGGGCTCAAGCAATCCTCCTGCCTCAGCCTCCCGAGTAGCTGGGACTACAGGCAGTGCCACCATGCCCGGCTAATTTTTTCTATATATTTTTAGTTGTCCAATTAATTTCTTTCTATTTTTAGTAGAGACGGGGTCTCGCTCTTGCTCAGGCTGGTCTCGAACTCCTGACCTTGAGTGATCCGCCCGCCTCGGCCTCCCAGAGTGCTAGGATTACAGGCGTGAGCCACCGTGCCCGGCCTAAGGAGACAGTTTTAATTCACACTTCTACCCAAGCTGAGGTCTGCATTACTCTGTCACTGTGGAAGGCTTCACCCAGATGCCCCCCTGACCATCCATTTGGGCAGTGATGGGAAATCTCTTTGATGTGTGAATCACTGAACTGGGAATTGAAGCCTGGATTTTAAAACAAGATCTCATACTGATGCATTGATGACACTTTACTTCACTGAGTCACCAATTGCTTATTTCTAAAAATGAAGTAGGGATTAACCCAGTGGATCTCTGAGGTCCCTTCTGTCCCCTAAATCTATGATTCTTTCACTCTATAAAGAGAAAGGGCCAGGCAGGGGCCTCAGTGGAGGGAAGGAGGAATAGAACAGGGACTCATCTCTCAAAAAATAAAAAGATTGCTTTAAACAGAGCCAACGAGTTCATTTTATCTGAAATAAACTAATGTGGTTCTTTTAGATTCCAGAACTATGTGAGTCTAGCAGTAAAATAACTGCTTCTCTCTGTCCCAGATAAAGGGCTCGCCAAAACCCAAACTTACTCCAGGGCTAAAGGTCACAAAACCAATCTCTGACCCTCATTTTGATCCACCTGTGTTGCAACTATGGACTCCATGTTTATTTGAAGGTCACTGGTTAGGCTGACTTGTGAAATATTGAGTAATAATGCACAGTAAGTAAATGTTGGTGAATGTGGTTGAACTGAATTTCTTGCTTGGAGGAAGCATGCAAGAGTCAGGGGATATGGGTTCCAGCCTCAGTTCTATCACCTGCAATCTGTGTGTCCTTGGCCAAGGTACTGAATCTCCAAGGCCCAGCCTCCTCCTCCCTCCAATAGTGACGATTTTACCTTATGGCAAGGGTAATTGAAAGAGTATGATGTGTATAAAAATTCTCTGTAAATTGTCAGAATTCCTGTAAACCAATAGGACATTGTATATCTGGAGTCTTGATAAAACTTAATTTTTCCTTACTGCAGTTAGAAATAACTGTACTAACCTAGTGTTATTCACAATAGCCAAGATATGGAAACAACCTAAGTGTTTATTCACAAATAAATGGATAAAAAAATTGTAGTTGGAATATTATTTATCCTTAAAAAGAAGGCGATGCTGTCATTTGCAAGAACACAGATGAACCTGAAGGATATTATGCTAAGTGATGTAAACAACACACAGGAAAAAAATATTGTATGATCTCACTTATATGTGGAGTATAAAAAAATAGAATACATAGAAAGAGAGAGTAAAATGTTACTGGGGTAGGGAGGGGGAAGAAATGGGGAAAACTAGGTCAAAAGTACAAATTTGCAGTTAGGCAGGATGAATAAATCTAGGGATCTAGTGTACAGCAAGAGGACTATAGTTAATAATATTGTATGTATACTGAAAATTTGCTGAAAGTAGATTTTAGATCCTCTTACCACAAAAAAGGTAACTATGAAATGTGATGGAATGTGTATATTTAAATTTGTTTCACCGTAGTAATCCCTTCATTATATGTATATCAAAACATCATGTTATAACCTTAAATATATAAAATAAAAAATAACTGTACTAATCATTTAGAACCATACAATGATATCTTTACAGAATGTGCCTTTGTACAAGCATTGCCATTAGTGATCTAGAAATGTATATCATTCCAGTGATATTTAGATCCTCATGACCACTAAATGTCCTCTCCTATTCAGGCTTGCATGTTTTTTGTTTGTGCTGTGGGTCTGTTTTCTGATTTCCCTACCTCCCATCCACCACTGAAGCTCATGGCTGTTGTTCCATCTATATAATTTCCCTTCCTCGCTGGGCAATATTTCATTCCGTTAATTCTGACACACACAGACCAGAAAAGCAACAGAAGCAGCTATGTCTGAAGGTGACTGGGAGGTGGGAGAAGTCCTAGTTTTCCAAGCTGTCCCTACTAAATACACTGAAATTGGCTCTTCCCTCCTATATACTGAGCAAGTTTCACCTCGGCAGTGATGGAGAGGGAAGAAACCCATTTTAAAATTTCTTGAGAATGTACGTCCTTGTTATTTTGCGAATAGTCAGTGTGATGTACCTTCCAAGTAACCAATGTTTTTGCGATTTTGTTTTGTTTTTCTAAAATTGTTCTTGAGGAGAAGCCATAGTACATCACATGGACATCAGACGATCTCGGCTCAAATTCCAGTTTTGCCACCTATGTCCTGTGGGACACTGGACAGGTCTCCCGTTCTCCCAGAGTCTCCCTTTCCCCATTGGAAAAATAAAAAATAATGATCTCTGTCTTCCAGTGCTTTTCGAGGGCTAAATGGGAAAAAGTGTGTGTATTTACTTAGCTAATTATATATATATGTTTGGTCATTCAAGATGTGACTTATGTTAGCTATTTCATGTTTAGGCAGCACACTAGAATATTTCAAAAGGCTTTCATTATCCAGGAAAGTATCTCAGTGTTTGAGAAAGCATTACAGGATAAACATTATTTTATATGCAAGGGATAATACTTGGAGTATCATCAAAGTCATAAATTCTAACTGATCATCAATCTAAGAATTCAGAATGTTGAATAATTTTCGATCAAATAATTTACTTCGTTGGTTCTCAAATTTGGCTAAACATTGAAAACACTTGGAGTGTTTAAAAAAGTCAAAGCAGTACCAGGGTCCTAGCCCAGACTAGTTAAAGCAGAAACTCTATGGTGGGGTATTGAAAATGAGAGCCAGAAAAAACCCACTTCGATTTTATATTTTTCAGTGAGCCAAGATCCATTCAGAAGAGAGAGTAAACTCTATCTAGCTGATTGGTTATTTACGTGTGAAAGAGTCATAAGGAATTAGCAGGGAGTGTTATAAAAGCCTTCGAGTGCAGGCTCACAGTTGTCTTGGTAAGAAGAGAAGGCTGCGATGGACCCAGCCATGGTCCTGGTGCTCTGTCTCTCCTGTTTGTTTCTCCTCTTCCTCTGGAGACAGAGCTCTGGGAGAGGCAAGCTCCCTCCTGGCCCCACTCCTCTCCCAATTATTGGAAATATGCTGCAGGTGGATGTTAAGGACATTGGCAAATCCTTTACCAATGTAAGTATGTTTTATGCTCCTTTCATGACTTGGAAAAGGTAAATAATTAACCCATACTTTTTAAGAAAAATTTTGTTTTATTTTTAACTAATAAATAATAATTGTATATATTTATGGGGTAAAATGTTATGTTTTGAAACATTGTGGAATGATCAAATCAGGGTAATTAGCACATTCATCACCTCAAACATTTATTATTTCTTGTAGTGAGAGCAGTTAAAATCCTCTGTTTTATGTATTTTCAAATATACAGTACATTGTTATTAATTATAGTCACCTTGCTGTCCAGTAGAACACCAGAACTTATTCGTCCTATACAATTGTAACTTTGTACCTATTGTCCAACATCTTCTCCTTTTCCTTCCACCTCCACCATTCTAGCCTCTGATCTCTACTTCTGTGAGTGCAACTTTTTTAGATGCCACGTATAAGTGAGATCATACAGTGTTTGTCTGGCTTCACCTGGCTTATTTACTAAATATAATGCCCTCTAGATTCATCCATGTTATCACAAATGACAGAATTTCCTTTTTTTTTTTTTCAAGGATGAATCATATTTGTTTATATATACCACATTTAAAAAAATTTTTGCAGATGGACACTTAGGTTGTTTCCATATCTTGGCTATTGCGAATAATGCTGCAACAAACATGGGCGTGCAGACATCTCTTTGACATACTGATTTCAATTCCTTTGGGTATATACCCAGTAGTGGGATTGCTAGTTCATCTGGTAGTTCTAATTTTAGTTTTTTGAGGAACCTTCATACTGTTTTCCCAACAGCATGCACTAATTTACATTACCATCAATAGTGTATAAGGGTTCCCTTTTCTTCACATGTTTGCCAACACCTGTTATCTTTTATCTTTTTTATCTATAATAGCCAATCTCAGAAATGTGAGGTAATATCTCAATGTGGTTTTTTTTTT